TGTAACATTTTCTAATAACAAACCAAGTACAACATGTCTCAAATCGACTCCGACCTTCGTTCGTTAGGAAATGAATTTTAACAAAACGCGTTACGTTGTATTAATACATAAATAAATAAGATGACAAATATTAATTAGTTACGTAAAAATTCAAGTCGTATTAACGTCATGCAATTTTTACGACTTCTTATTAAAACTTCTACCAACTCTTTATTAAGCATAATATTCAGCACAACTTATTTAACTTCTATTTGGGTTGAATTGACTTTTGTTGACTCGGTCTTACTAAATATATATATATATATATATATATATATATATATATAAAATAATAATAAAAGAAATAAAAGGGCAGCAGCTAGAGATTGTTGGGTCTATTAGAGTGGCTTGGTGCAAGTTGCATCTGCAATGATGGAGATTGGAGCTGGTTAGTTGGAGGAAGAAGCCAATGAGTTTGCATCCATATTTACGGATATTTCAATCCATACTGTTATCATCTAAAACTTTTGATTATATTATAAAAATGAGATAACAATAACGATAATGACATATATTATTTTTGTCATCTCATATAAATGAAAGAGGCAATATGGTGAATTATAATTTTATATCTATACTATATTATAAAATATTTGATAAAAACTCTTAAAAATCATTTTTTTTTACATGAAGTATTGATTATTGATGTATATATTACTTAAAATTCAAGATTACAAGTAAATTGTACGTAAGTACAACTTATTAAGCTTCATGTTTGAATTTGTGTAACTAACTGTAGATAAATATAACTAAATATAAGATAAAATTTCTTATTTTAAATATAAAATATAATTAAAATAATTATTGAGTTGTAACAGAATGTTTAGTTATTATCTTCATAAAATTTATATTATTACACCGAAAATAAATTATTTCGTCATTAAATTTAAATTATATTATAACAAAAAAATTGAATTAAAGAAATTACACAAAAAATGAGAACTTTTATATAATTTTTAACGTTTATGATATCTTCAAATTTATATTTTCTTAAGAAAAATATTATTGCTTACTCAAAATCACATAAATTCTTATTTTTATTGCATTGCACGAATACTTTTTTAGTTTATTAATAAAAAATGATCCTAAAAAATATAAAATTACATCCCAAAATTATTCAAAATCATATGTTTAACCTGTTAAAAAACGACTCTGTTCACGTATCACCACCAACCCTTTCTTTATTAAAAACTAGACTCAAGTGGGAACCATCCCCTCCGCCACCATCTTTGAATCCGGCTATTTTATATATATAACATCTCTTTTCCATACCTCATCATTTTCAGTTAATTCATTAAAAAGAACACCCAATTATTTCTATATATATATATATATATATATATATATATATAGGGTTAGATTTACGTAAGATCAAAAGTTTTTCATGAGATCAGTAAGACCAAATTTATATTCATTGATGAACTTTATAAGTTAATGATCTAACGATCTAAAGTTACACGGTGACAATTTTGTGATTATTGAGAAGTCTCGTGGCAATTTTGTGATTATGAATGTTCATATTGTAGTTCTAATCCAGGGATTGAGAATTGGTCTTACATGTTTCACGAAAAACCATTAGTCTCACATGATCTCAAGTCTATATATGTATATATCAAATGTATTATGAATATCAGTTCTCAAACAATTATATTTATGGGTCCAACTACTGACGAATGCAGAAAATTTATACCAAACGAACAATTATCGTAGAATCGTTCCGACTATGATTATATAATCTAAACAAACAACTAAGTCGTCGTTATAATCGATTAAAATTTCAACATATTTTATTTTAATAATATTAAATGACAATTAAATTTGAATATTAATATTTTAAACTAAATATCTGTTTTATCTTTGGACATTATTACTATAATTGTTTATTGGTTATATTGGATGTGTCCATGAATTCTCTTTTTCTGTAAATGTATTTTAAATTAATTTTTATAATATTTATTTTGTTTTTATGTGAGTAGCAAAGGTCAACGAGTCAAAATTCATAAAGTTTAGGAAACATTATATATGGATAAATATTTGGCAACTTTGAATTCACTTAAATAAAGTCAAATGTTTCAAAAGCACCTTCCTCTCCCTTGCATCAACTACCTCTAAACCTACTTTATTAGACTCATATTCTCTAATTAAAACCGCGTATATCTCAGTTCATAAATAAATAGAAGGATTTTGTTTAAAATACAACAAGACAGTTAAAGGTAGTTTGGTAATTGTTGAATGATTTGATTTAGGATGATTAAGTGGTCAGAATGATTAAAATACTCTTATGATATAGTACAAAATGAAATATGGTTGTTCGGTAATTGTTTAGAATGAAATGAGGGTTCTAAATGGTTTAGGAAAGTTCAAGATACAAAATCATTCAGAGAGTTTTACAATCATTAAGAAGCAATCTTTTTTTTTGTCAAACAAGATTCACTTCTTAATGATTCAAAGATTGTATTTTAATGGAACTATTAATAAGTAAACTAACAGCCTCTTAGACAAGTTATAGGTTTAATCCCAGACCCCCCAGTAGCCAATCTTAGAGAAGAAAGTTAAGTCAATAACTCATCATGTTGTAGAATCTATTGAATCATAAATATTACAAAAGTTTCCATTTTTCCTGTTTTAAAGAAACTGTTGGAGATGTTTCTTAAAGAATATTTAAAACTGATAAAAGAATATTTAAAACTGATAAATATTCAACTTCTGATCGGTTATGTTCGAGCATAAAGAATAAAGATTGTGTCTTTTGACAACACTGAAACAATTTGAAATTCAAATAATCAAGTAATCACTTGTATACTTCATTGATATCAGTATCAATATTACCGTAATTTGTAAATGATTTTCTTATTTACAACTTCAATAATTTGTAAATGATTTTATAATAACACCAAATAAACTTTTTTACATTATATATATATATATATATATAGAGAGAGAGAGAGAGAGAGAGAGTTTGTTTCAAATACAACTCATCGCATTTTATGCATCTCGTTATCATTGACATTTAATACAAATTGATGCAAGGGTATAGATCTCTTGTTACGTTTCTCACCATAACTCATTTCACACTGGAACCCAACCCCATATATATATGTATATATATATATATATATATATATATAGAGTTTGTTTCAAATACAACTTGTTGCATTTGTATAACCAATGCAACCCAATAAATTGAGATATTTATGGAAATGATGAGAGTTCATTTATTATGATTTGAATATTTATGAAMGATGAATATGGTTCATTAATTATGATCAATATTTTATATTAGGAAACAATCAAAACTTCTTTAAAATCACATATTAATCAAATGAAATGAACGGTTGAGATTGAGTTGTATTGGTTGCACAAATGTCAAGAATTGTATAATAATCAACCTCTATATATATACATGTATATATATATATATATATGCATGTATATATAGGCTCATTCAATCGAGAACTGATTAGTTTGTGGTAATCGTAAGATCTAATGTGAACCACTCGTTTGAGATATTTAAATATATTTCTTAAATAAACTAAAAGGATAATTATAGTAATTATATTTTTGACAACTAATCAAAATATTTAATTAATTTAGAAGAAAATATTTAATCATAATTAGTTACCTACTATATCAATTATCTAATATTATATCGTATTTTAAAGACGTCTGTGAATAATGTGTATCATAATAATAACGTTCACAATGTTTCACGTGCATTACAATGTATTTTCTTTGTTTTGTGAAATGTATCATAGTATGTATTTTTTTTTTCTTCATTGTTCTACAAAGGGTGTCACATCATGCATTTTGTATGTATTTCTGGATATCACAGTGAATATCGGTTGTAGGTATTACAATGTGTATCTTGTGTTTACATAAGGTTCATCGGAATAAGGTTTGACGAATAAGATTCGCCGAAGAAAGGAAAGAGGAGAGATGAGAGAGAATATTTATAAAATTTCTAAAATGCCCTTAATTAATATTTTAAGTTAAATTACCAAAATTATTAATGATCTAATTTAACTTTTGATTTGTGGTTGAGATTGGATTTCACGGTTATCAAAACAGTTCTAATATGATTAGACCCCTATATATATGTGTATATATATAGGGTTTGGATTTCACGGGAATGAAAGTTATGGTGAAAAAAGGTGACCAAGATGCACAATGTGATACCCTTTGTTGTGCAGCAGATCAATTCTCGTGATAAGCATAATTCATGGAATGAGATGAAATTAAAGGTGATCAAGGTCTAGATCTTTTTAACGTTTCTCATCTTAATTCTTTTATCACATTGTATATCATCCCCATGGATTGATAAAGTGGTAAAGACCACTATTTCATGGTCCCCTTGTAAAGGAAAAAAAATTACGTTTCTAAAGGGTGCTACTGTATTGTTTTGTTGGGTGTCACCATATAGTTTTTGAAACTAAAATGTTAACAAAAGACTTTAATGACTAAGATAGTAAATCTTTTTGCATATATATGTACAAAAGTCTCAGGTTCGATCCCTATATCTATATGTAGACCAGATTTGAACATTTATCCCTCCCCCGTAAGGACAAGGAACTAACCAACAAATTTATAGTAATATTGTAAAAAAAATAGATATTTTTTTTAATAAAATGTACGGTAACTTGAAAAAATTTCAAAGTCCACCTTTATATAATGTAATATATATATATATATATATATATATATATATATATATATATTTATATATATGTTGGTTGGCGATTATTTCCATCAATATTCCATTCTACACCAACCGCACGTTTCAAAAGTAAAAATATTTGATAAAAAGATGCCACTTGAAAATAACAAGTTAAAACTTGAAATTATATACATATATATATATATATCATATATATAACATATATATATCTCGTATAAATAGGCTCCATCTTGACACCATCAACCCAAGACGTAGTCAGAGACAGACCCGCAATGCTCCCACCTCTCTCTTCCTCCATAAATCTCCCATGAGATTTAGACTCTTCCCAATTCACTTCATCTGTACTCTTTCAACTTCAATCTTAATCCCCAACCCACAATTTAATTAATTACCAATAAATCTCCGATGGAACAAGCCGGATTCCGGAGTTCCATGAGGCGAACGGTAAGCCGGACCATGAGCCGGACCCGGAGTTCCGCCAGCTGGAGGATGGAAGACGTGTTTACAGCCGGCGGTGGTGCCAGCTACAACAGGCGCTCCAGTCGTCATTCTGAAGAAGACGAAGAAGCGCTCAGGTGGGCAGCTTTAGAAAAACTACCCACCTATGATCGTTTACGAACAACCATCATGAAGACTTATGCAAACGACGGTGATGAAAACCAACGTGGTCAGAAAGCTAACATGTTGCACAAAGAAATCGATGTGCGAAATCTCGATCCCAACGATAAACAAGCTTTCATCGATAGGATCTTCAAGGTTGCCGAAGAAGATAACGAGAAGTTCTTGAGGAAGTTCCGAAATCGCGTCGACAAGTAAGTAATTAATCTATAATTAATGAACCCGGTTTTTGTATAATCCATAACCTTCCAAAAAATACGTGATTTTATCAACATGTAATTAGTAATTTAATTAATTATTATGTAATTAATACGTAACTAAATTTTTTGAGTCAATGTTTCATGTGCATTCGCGTTGGCTCGGGAAACGGTCTTTAAATAGAAAACAATATTTTAAAGATTAAAATGATTTTATCGAATAATTATAATTTTAATTTATAGATCTCTTGAACAATTCCACATTCAATGGACTCGTTGACTATTTCATATTTATAAATATTCCGGTAACAGTTCATCTATACGGCATAAATATCTGCATACAAGTAATTGAAGTTGTTTTTTGATTTCTATGCACATATACATATCGTAAAGATGTATATATATATATATATATATATGTGTGTGTGTATAAATAAATCTTTTTTTGTTCAAATTTCAGGGTTGGAATCACCCTACCAACTGTAGAAGTAAGATTTGAACGTTTAACGATCGAAGCCGATTGCTATATCGGAGACAGAGCACTTCCATCGTTAGCAAATGCTGCTCGGAATCTTGTTGAATCGGGTTTGGGTTGTTTTGGAATCGGTTTGGCCGAGAAAACCAAACTCACGATTCTTAAAGACGCATCCGGGATAATTAAACCGTCACGGTAATTAAGTTCTTTTACCATAGCATTTAACGTATTATCTTGGGTCGAAAATGGGGCAATAAAAACTAATATTTTTGTTTTATTTTGTTTGTATTTAATTTATTAATTATCAGGATGGCACTTTTATTAGGCCCACCCTCATCAGGGAAAACAACCCTTTTGTTGGCATTGGCCGGAAAGTTAGACTCTAGCTTAAAGGTACATTTGGAAATATACAAAATTAAAATATAATTAATAATTAACTAACCACCCAATTAACTAAAAACGAACATGACGATGAAAATGGTAAACAGGTTAAGGGGGAGGTTACGTACAACGGGCACAAGCTCGATGAATTTGTACCACGGAAGACATCGGCATACATTAGCCAAAACGACGTTCACGTAGGAGAAATGACTGTTAAAGAAACACTGGATTTCTCAGCAAGATGCCAAGGAGTAGGCTCGCGTTATGGTATTTTTTTGACGATGATCCAAAATAATATGTTCAGATTTTTTTGATGGGTGTTATGTAATTAATACGTTAATGTTGTGTATGAATGTAACAGAATTATTAACGGAGCTTGCTAGGAGAGAAAAGGAAGCCGGGATTTTCCCGGAAGCCGAAGTCGATCTTTTCATGAAGGTAAGGGATTATTAATCTTATATTAGTTAAATTCGGATTAAATTAATCTTTATATTAATTAATCTTCATTTTTTATCTATGAATTATTCCAGGCAACATCAATGGAAGGAGTTGAGAGTAGTTTGATTACCGACTACACTCTTAGGGTAAGTTGAAAATTTAACAAATAAAGCAATATATATATATATATATAGAGAGAGAGAGAGAGAGAGAGAGAGAGTGTGAGAGAGAGGTTTATACGAGAATATTAATCAGATAAAATAATAATAAAACAATTGAATCATGTGTAAAATCACATGTGAATCACGTTGTTTGCACATCCTTGCGTTGACTGATAGTGTAAATTCACATGTGATTTTGCATATGATATATTTGTTTTTGTACTCTCTTATTTAGTTATTGTTCTTGTTTGAACCTACGGTTTATATATATATATATATATATATATATATATATATATATTTATGATTAAATTTGGGTTAGATGTGAAAGCACCATCACACATGCTCTACCTCAACGATATTATTCATTTCCTTTTCTACATTTAATTTTGTGGGTCAATGGAATTTGCTCACAAGTTGCATTTTTCAACCTTTGTGGTTGGTGGCCTAACCTTTCAAATATAACCTTTTTACAGATTTTGGGACTTGATGTATGCCGGGACACTATCGTCGGTGATGATATGATACGGGGGATTTCCGGGGGTCAAAAGAAACGAGTGACAACAGGTTAATTCTTTATGCATTTTATTATGACAGAAAAACGACATTGACTTTATATGTGTTCGAATTCAAAGTTGAAAGAAAAACGAGACTAATGATCTAATTGAATACAAATCTTTTTTTAGAAGTATATAATATTTATATACGGGGCAAATGCAACAAATAAACTCATACACCCTCCTCACCTTGAGGTTTGAACCCTTGATTTCCTATGAGGCCAAAAACTACGAAACCGCCAAGACAAAGACCCTTTGATTACAAATCTTGATTGTAATAAAATCAGTTGTTCCCTGAAAACAAAGATTAGAAAATGAATTAGATAAAATAATAATGTGTTTTTATCTGATTGATGGAATAACTGGAAAAATAAAATTTGGGAAGATTAATTTTGCATTGCTTAATTTGAAGCCACCAAACCCAAGTCATGAGTCATGTCATGGTGGGTGGTTGATAGCACACCTAAAACTAGTAATGAGATTAAGTAGTTAAGTGGAAAATGAACTATGGAATAGCTTAACCTAACACACCCCTTTTCAAGTCATGTTAGGTAAACCCAAGTCAACATTTTTTAAATGATTAGCCAATTAGGTGGAGTTACTTCCAAATAATTAATCATTAAGTGTTTATCGATAAAATTTAACATTATTATTTACTTATCGGGTAAGATTTTAGTTCACCAAATTGCATGCAACAAATTACCCGGTAAGTTTTTACCAGTGGTAATCGTCGTCGTTCTCACTTACGAGGTAAGACTATTGGTCTTTATCTCGCTCATACTGAGTAAGATTCTTGATCCTTACCATATTCAGTATATGATATGATCTGATTGTAAAATAAATTATACAACAACATCAATATTTAATTTCAACCATTTATTATCATTCTTGATTTGTTAGGAAGGAAAGTGCCAAACATGTTGCTGGCTTAATTGACCATTTAGTTATATATGAAGGTCCACCTTACCCCATAACTCCTCCCATACCCATCTGTTCAATAATTAATGGACCACATAATTTAATTGTATTTTAATCTTATATTTTAGTCATAGTTACAGTTGTTCATTGCGGGATGACCCCGTTAGACCCGGTCCATCCGACCCGCTAAAAATACGGGTTTGGACAATAATTATCGAGAAAATGAATGGGCCCAGGTTTGTTCGTTAAAATTAACGGACATACATGGACAATGTAAAAATAGATATGGACAGACCCATCCAGCCCGTTTATATTTTATTATTAATATTTTTTTACTATTAATTAAAATTATATTAGTATATTTTAAATTAAATTATTAAAGTTATAGGATAAGACTCTTTGGTTATGCTTGGGAACCCAAAAGGCTAAGGGGTTATTTGTTTACGTCTTAATGTTCTTATTAAGAGGTTCAACTCTGCATTTTGTTTTTCATTTCTTTCTCCACTTGTTGAGATCCATGTGTCACCTTAGTTGCTTAAAACTTTAACTGTAACAGTGGTTTTCCCTAATTTTTGGTTCCACATATGTTAATTAATTGTAAGTGATCAAATTTATAGATTTATAAGAGTTACACCTTTTAGGTCCATTAGTTCGTGGGAAAACGCGTTAGCCCATTTATATGGCGGGCAATAGCAAGTTGTCAAGCCCGAAAAAAGGGGTTTGAATTTACAATATTAAACTCGTTGGACAAAAAAAAACAAGTTAGGCTCCGGCCAGACCCGTAAATGATCACCTCTAGTCACATTAAAATTATTCAATTCAACCAAAATAACTGATGACATATATGATGTGTAAAACAGGAGAGATGATTGTTGGGCCGACCAAGACGTTGTTTATGGACGAGATATCAACGGGGCTCGACAGTTCTACGACATTTCAGATTGTCAAATGTCTCCAACAGATTGTTCACTTGACCGATGCCACCATCTTAATGTCCCTATTACAACCTGCACCCGAGACGTTTGATCTGTTTGACGATATCATACTACTATCAGAAGGTCAGATCGTGTACGAGGGACCAAGAGAACACGTGGTCGAGTTTTTCGAGTCTTGTGGCTTCAAGTGTCCAGAAAGAAAGGGGACTGCTGATTTCTTGCAAGAGGTAGCTTGAAAAACGTTATGGTCTCGTCATCACTAACCGCAACGTCACGTTAAAACCTTGCACATATTAACATCAGCACGGTGTTCTTAAAACCGTTTTTATGAAAAAACGATATATTTATAAAAATGACATCTTTCGTTTCTTTTACGGAACATGAACAAAAAAAAAATGGGAACTTGACCATTCGAAAATGGTGTTGTGTTGATAGGTTACCTCAAGGAAGGATCAAGAACAATACTGGGCTGACAGAAGCAGACCTTACAAATACATTTCAGTTACTGAATTCACAAAACGATTTCAAAGATTTCATGTCGGACTTCGTCTCGAGAATGAGCTTTCGGTTCCATTTGATAAATCAAGAAGCCACAGAGCTGCGTTGGTATTCAAGAAATTCTTGGTTTCCAAAACGGATCTCTTGAAAGCTTCATGGGATAAAGAATGGCTTCTCATCCAACGGAACTCGTTCGTCTACGTTTTCAAAACTGTTCAAATCATCATCGTCGCCATCATTGCATCAACAGTCTTCTTAAGAACTAGAATGCATACAAGGAATGAAGAAGATGGTGCTGGATACGTTGGGGCACTTTTGTTCAGTATGCTTATCAATATGTTCAATGGCTTTGCTGAACTGTCTCTCACTATACAACGGCTTCCTGTGTTTTACAAGCAAAGAGATCTGTTATTCCATCCGCCATGGGCGTTTACTCTTCCAACTTTCCTTCTTCGAGTACCTATATCCCTCGTGGAGACCATAGTTTGGATGGTTGTCTCGTATTACACCATTGGTTTTGCCCCTGATGCTAGCAGGTTCTTTAAGCAGTTCTTGTTGATATTTCTAGTCCAGCAAATGGCAGCTGGAATCTTTAGGGTTATTGCAGGACTTTGTAGAACCATGATCATTGCCAACACTGGTGGAGCACTTACTCTCCTGCTTGTATTTCTTTTGGGTGGTTTCATTCTTCCTAAAGGTTAGTTCCAAGCGTAAACAAATCATGAAGATAAACTATTCGACGAAATGCCTCGGTGACATTGATCAAGAGGTTTGTCATTTGTGTGTTACAGGTCAAATTCCAAGTTGGTGGGGTTGGGCTTACTGGGTTTCACCCATCACATATGGTTACAATGCCATCACTGTAAATGAATTGTATGCAGATAGGTGGATGAACAAATTTGTAAGTCAGATATATATACATTCTCCTGTCTCTATAATGTGATTCAAGTGCTAAAATGATTACATTCAATACAGGGTTCAGATAATGTCACCGCTCTGGGTATTCAAGTTCTAAGAAACTTTGATGTTCCTACTGATAGCAACTGGTACTGGATCGGCACGGCTGCTCTTGTGGGTTTCTCGGTTCTCCTAAATGTTTTGTTCACCTTTGCTCTCATGTATCTCGACCGTAAGTTTCGACAAACTCCTAAAGTTGAACATTTTTTTCTGTTCTTCTTCATGGACACTGATCTTGGTATCTTGTAACCTTGGTATCTTAGCACTTGGGAAACAACAAGCAATAATATCCAAAGAAACAGCCTCAGAAATGGAAGCCAACCAAGAAGAAACAACAGAAATGCCAAGATTGAGAACAAATGCATCAAGGAGAGAAACGCTTCCTCAATCGTTGTCTGCTGCTGATGGAAACAATACCAGTAAGAAAAATAGATATAATTTGTTATATATAGATTTGTATCTATATAACGATGAGATTAACTTATACGGGTGTCGTTTTCAGGGGAAGTGGCTATGCAGCGAATGAGCAGTCAAGCGGGTGCCATAAATAGAAATCAAGATTCAAGTCTTGAGGCTGCAAAAGGTTTATCTGCTAGAAAAGGGATGGTTCTACCTTTCACTCCTCTTGCTATGTCCTTCGACAGCGTAAACTATTATGTCGATATGCCAGCAGTAAGTTTCATCAATAAATCATTCCTTTAATACATTATATACGACCTTTTTTTAGGATCAACGAATAGCTATGTAAACGATAAACTTGTTGAATTCAACAGGAGATGAAAGAACAAGGGGTGACGGAAGATAGGCTCCAGTTACTTCGTGGGGTAACTGGTGCATTTAGGCCTGGAATCCTCACGGCTTTGATGGGAGTCAGTGGTGCTGGGAAAACAACATTAATGGACGTCCTTGCAGGAAGGAAGACAGGTGGTTATATTGAAGGTGATATCAGGATATCTGGCTTTCCGAAAAACCAAGAAACTTTTGCAAGAATTTCTGGATATTGTGAACAAAATGATATCCACACACCCCAAATCACCATCCGGGAATCTCTAATATACTCAGCTTTCCTCCGGCTTGCCAAAGAAGTTAGCAATGAGGAAAAGATGGTGAGTGAACTAGTTCTTTATTTTTCTTTGTGGAATGTAGAATTGGCTTAATTTTGAAAGTGCTAATCCCCTTGGATGTATTTCAGACTTTTGTCGATCAAGTGATGGAGCTTGTTGAACTAGACAATCTCAAGGATGCAATCGTGGGACTTCCAGGGGTTACCGGTTTGTCAACAGAACAGAGGAAAAGACTGACAATTGCTGTAGAGCTTGTTGCTAATCCTTCGATCATTTTCATGGATGAACCAACTTCTGGACTTGATGCAAGGGCAGCTGCCATAGTCATGAGAACTGTTCGAAATACAGTGGATACTGGTAGAACTGTTGTTTGCACCATTCACCAGCCTAGCATTGATATTTTTGAAGCATTTGATGAGGTAATGCTCTCTCTATTGATCTGTCTATCTATCTATATCTATACATATAGGTTGTTCAGGTTCAGGGGAAAACCGCAAAATAATAAAAATTGAAGAACACCCTAGTAATCGTTCAGCTTTATGGTATGCACATGTACATACAAGTAATTTGTAAGCAATTTGTTTGGCACACGAGCATAAAAACCAATAAACGATTTCAGTTACTTGTATGCACATGTGCATACCGTCCAAATGAATGGTTACTAGGGTGTTTTTCGGTTTTTCATTTTTTGGGGTTTCCCCTGAATCTCATTCTCTCTCTCTCTCTCTCTCTCTCTCTCTCTCTCTCTCTCTCTCTCTATATATATATATATATATATATATATAATTGTATATCTACTTTATACGAGTTCTATACACAACATATGTATTAATCGTCATATTTTGGCATCAGCTGCTACTAATGAAAAGAGGAGGGCAAGTGATCTATGCTGGACCATTGGGCAGGAACTCCCAAAAAATTGTAGAATATTTTGAGGTATAGAGCTTGATTAACATCAATACAGACAGATGAATCGATTTCTCAACAAAAACCGAAAAAACAGAAAGCAAAAAATTAAGAAGTTGAGCATATTTTGCAGGAAATTCCCGGGGTCCCGAAAATACCCGAGAAGTACAATCCAGCAACATGGATGCTTGAAGTTAGCTCCATCGCTGCAGAAGTGCGACTCGGAATGGATTTCGCCGAGCACTACAATTCATCGGCTTTGCATGAGTAAGATCACATTCTCTACAATTTCTTCAAAACGGAGCAGTAAAAAGTTAAAATCTCCGAAAAGATTTACATTCAACTCCAATAGTTTCTCCATGGGAAAATGTCAAAACATTAAAATCTAATAAAATTGTGTGTGTAACCGTTGATTTAACAGAAGGAACAAGGCTTTGGTGAAGGAGTTGAGCACACCTCCTCCAGGTGCAAAAGACCTTTACTTTGCATCACAATATTCTCAATCCACATGGGGACAGTTCAAATCTTGCTTATGGAAACAATGGTGGAGTTACTGGAGAAGTCCCGATTACAATCTTGTTCGTTACTTCTTTACGTTAGCATGTGCACTCATGGTCGGCACCATTTTCTGGAAAATCGGAACTAAAAGGTTAGCTTCACTCCTTACTTCTTTAACACATAAAACAGACATGATTTAGTACCCGTTTCCTAATTTCTTTGTTCTATATATATATATACACACATATATACATCTACAGAGACAGCAGCAATGATCTAACAACAATCATCGGAGCTATGTATGCTGCGGTGCTTTTTGTGGGTATCAACAATTGCTCAACAGTTCAACCGATAGTAGCAACAGAAAGAACAGTCTTTTACAGAGAAACAGCTGCCGGAATGTATTCTGCATTACCATATGCCATGGCACAGGTCGGAAATTTTATAAAAAAAAAAACAAAAGAAAAACACGGGTACATACGAAGTTACGACTTCATTGTTACTGATAAGTTTTTGTAAAAATGCAGGTATTTGTAGAGATACCGTATGTATTTATTCAAACTGCATATTACACGGTTATAGTGTATGCGATGGTGAGCTTCGAATGGACCGCGATTAAGTTCTTCTGGTTCTTCTTCATCAACTTCTTCTCGTTTCTTTACTTCACGTACTATGGAATGATGACGGTATCCATAACACCAAACCACCAAGTAGCAGCCATATTCGCAGCGGCTTTCTACTCGCTTTTCAATCTCTTTTCTGGGTTTTTCATCCCAAGACCCGTAAGTGATTTTCTTTTTCCTAGTTTCTTTAATTGATTACATGAGTTTTTGTTTACTAAATTGATAGAAACCAACTGTTTTTGGTTGAATTCAGAGGATTCCAAAGTGGTGGATATGGTACTACTGGATCTGCCCGTTGGCGTGGACGGTTTATGGTGCAATCGTTTCGCAATACGGTGATGTGGAGAACACGATCAGCGTGCCGGGTCGGGCGACTGATCCTACGATCAAATGGTATGTCAAAGACCATTTTGGTTATGACCCAGATTTCATGGCACCAGTTGCTATAGTTTTGGTTGGTTTTGCGGCCTTTTTTGCTTTCATGTATGCTTATTGCCTTAAGACATTGAACTTCCAAATGAGGTAGTTCAATTAGGTCTCATTCTTAGTGGAAACAACTTGTAAAATATATATTATATAAATATATATATATATATATATATATATCATTTTTATCAAAGCCCATTTGAGATGAGATGCATGGGTTTCTGAATGTTTGGTTAGTTTTCCATAATTCATGTACGGATAATATTGACTGTATTGATTAATCTGTTTGTATAGATTGGAAGGTTTTTCATAAGGACGTTTGGAAAAAACTTGACTTTCTACATAACACTCTTCCTATAGTCATACTGAATAAGTTAATTTCTATATCACTGAGCCACAACCAAATAGTCATGTATTGCTTATCGAATAAGTTGTGAGTCTCATTAAGCTCACTAAACTGTTAACAAACGGTTGTTAGAAGAAGAGACTAAATCCGAACGTTTTTACAAACTACAACAACAATCTTGTAATTTCAAAACTGTATGGATGAAAAGTGTTATTTTTGACAAACCACGGATACCAAATTTGTATGATTTCATTTTATATTTCGTGTTGAAATTTTGTTAATATACATTTTAAATTCAGTTGAATTTGATTTTTTCTGATATGACGTTACCATACGATATGATTGAAATCATAATAATAACACCAACGAAAAACGATATGATGTGATGCTCTAAACAAAAAAAATGATATGATCATTAATATACATGTTTGACCAGCTTAATATCTGACTCATACGTATTTATATTGGTTTAACTGCATAAAGATATCTTTATCAACAAAAGTAGCGGTGAACGTACAAGGAGACGTGGAAGATCAATCCCCATGAATATTGAAAGACTCCAATGAAGTTTCTTATAAGAACCAACTTTTTGTACTTTTTCATGTCATGTCAGTTCCAACTCACCAAATTAAGAACCTAAACAAAAATCTACAGTAGTAGTTATTATAAGAACCTTTTTTTGCAGGTTCCATGTATTTTTTCAACATTAACAGATAGTTTACACCCTCATCACTTTTGGCGAGATTTAAACTCTTGACCTCCTAGAAGACCAATGACTCACAAACCACTAGGACAAAGACACTTTGATTTAAATACAGCTTCTAGCCGGAATAAGTTATATTTTTTTATTAGAAAAAGATAATTACACTTATAAACTTAATATTTATATTATTGTCATAATTAAAACCACATTTTAAAAAAATTGCCCATATATAAAAAACAATATATATGTACTAGAATGATATTCGCGCAATGTAATGAAATACATCTTGACTTTAGTGTTTCGTTTTATATTTTTGCTCTATCGTTGTTGTAATGTGATTTTATGTGGTTTTGAGAAAACGAAAATGTTTTTATTTTTCAATGAAATATAAATTTTAAGATACTATCAAACTTTGAAAAAAATAATCAATATTAACATCAGATTAGCTAATTAAAAGTTCTCGTTTTTGTATAATTTATTTAATTCAATTTGTTATTATAATTTAATTGAAGTTTAATAACGAACTAACTTATTTTTTTTATCTAATATTATAATTTTTTTCAGATAGTAATTAAGTATTATGTTAGGACTCAATGATATTCTTAACTATATTATAGTTTTTTTATATTTAAAATGATGTATATCATGTATTTAATTATGTTTATCTGCAGTTAGTTACACGAATTCAAACATGGAGCTTTAATAAGTTGTACTTGAGCATTATTTTCTTATAATCTTGAATTTTAAGTAATATACATTAATAAACAGTACTTTATGTATAAAAAATGATTTTTAAGAGTTTTTCTCAACTGCTTTATAATAAAGTATATATGTATATGATACAAACTTTTTAATAGGTAAAATGATATTTATATATAAATCTAAAATAAAACTATTTCTTTTGAACAATGAATTTAAAAAGGTAAAAAATCATTTTATCCGTAACCAATCATTTTTGTATCAGTTCGTTCGTGACGTATTAAAAATAGAAGACGTTCTGTTTTTATTTTATAAAATTTAAGTTTAATACGCGACATCTATTAATTTTGGTATAATTTTATTTATCAAGTGTGAGGTTAGTGGTTCAATGTCAACATGCCATAAAAGGAAAAAAAGAAATCCATCCACAAATGGATTATGTCTCGAGATAGCTTTTGGTGTTGAGTATCTTCGTCCTTAAATCAATCATAATTGAAGATCAACAGTAATAAGATGTATCAGATCAATCCTCATATCAAGTATAATTCATTGTTCTTACGTTTCTCATATTAACTCAAATTCTCACACGATTGTTCGTGTAATCTTATATATCAATCTTAAATATACCATTTTATTTCGACAGAAAAATTCAAAAATAGTTCTCAAACTCTACGTCATTCAAACCTTAGATTGGACGGATTGTTTCATAGATGAAAAAAGAGTGTTTTTTAATTGGAAATGCAGCTTCGGATTTTTTTTGACTTTTTGCATAAAACTTTCTGTTAAAAGCTTAGTAAATAAATCACTTTCTATATTATTAAGTCACTATCAAACACTCATATACAACTGACCAAATAAGTTATGGATCTCATTAAACTTATTAAGCTGGTAACAAAAATATCAGCTTACATTTTTGTGTTTATTTTTCAATTTTTTTTTCAAAATATCACATTTATTTTTTTTGACAATAATAGAGGCAATAATCACACCTACAATTTTGAAAATACCCACAAAATTAAATGCATGAGTTTTAATTTTCTTTAATCACAATAAATTTTCTTTAAAGCACTCTCATAAATGATTTCTTAAATTTCAAAGGGATTTTGTACTGATTGTCTCCCCAACCTCAATGATATGCATTATATTATTAAGCATTTGACAACAACTCTTAAAAACCATCTTTTATATATGAAGTACTGTTTATTGATACATATTACTTAAAGTTTAAAAATTCATATTAAATTGTGTATAAATACAACTTATTAAGCTTCATATTTGAATTCGTGTAACTAATTGTAGATAAATATAATCAAATACAAGATAAAATTCTCAATTTAAATATATCTAAAATATGATTAGGATAATTATTAAGTTCTAATATAATACTTCGTTAATATCTTTGTAAAAATTATATTATTAAACCAAAAACAAATAAATTCGTCATTAAACCTAAATTAATTTATAATAAAAAAATTGAATTAAAGAAATTACACAAAAAAAAAATGAAAACTTTTATACTTTTTGTAATCTTTATGATATCTTAAAACTTTATATTAAAAAGAATATTTGTCTGTTCAAAAACACATAAATCCATATTATAATATCGATAGAGACCAAAAAAAAAACGAAACAAAACATTAAAATGGAGATATGTTTCGCTATATTGCACGAGCACCCTTTTAGTATATGTTAATATTTTTATTTTTCATTTAAGAGTAAATTATGGTTTTGGTCCCTGGGGTTTGTTGATTATTACGGATTTAGTCCATCAATTTTGTTTATTACAGAAAAAGTCTCGTAATTTGCATTTTGTTTTGAATTTGATCTTGATCCCTAGACCAAACAGCCGTCCACTATGTCTGTTAACTACTATAGCACATTTTGCCATTTTCCTCCTTTGTAACTATTCTTATTTTCTTGTTATGAATCTTCATGTTCTGCATCAAGAATGTCAAAAACAAACCTTAAAACTTATATCAAAAGGTCAAATTCAAAACCTATGACTCTGATCAGACCCTAAATCAAAAGCTTATGTTTTGCTTAAAAATCAAATTTGTGATAACAATTAACAACAATCTTAGCTTTTGCATGAGGTCTTCCTTGGAGTACCCAAATCTCAATTCATCAGCAATGAAGAACGGTTGAACGTGAAACGAAAGCTCAAGAGGCAAAGAGAGATGGTGGATTTGTGGCTTCACCCCTGGGTGTGGATGTTTACATGAACGGTAGGGGGTTTGGAGGGACGAGAGTTGGTGGTATTCGGAGAAGGACAAGTAGGCATCGGAGAATGGTGGAAATGGGAAAACGAGGCCGACCACACCAAACCATCTTCCGTTGTGTGGCGAGGTGAAGTCAAGAAAAGCAAATATCGTATCAAATCATCTGAAGTCTTTTAAATCAGATTGAAAAACCCAATACTTTCATTTATTTAAGGTTAGATTTTTTTTTTTTACTGAAAGCCAAAAAAACCTTGAATGTTAATGTGGAAAAAATAAATATTCAATCAAAAAAAATGATAAAATGGAGGAAAAAGACAAAAGTCGATAAAAGATGGATGGTTGTTTAATGACAGACTTTTATACATAATTAATGCATAAAAATCTACAAACAAAAAACATGTGTCAAATAATTATTATCCTTTAACAATTAATTAGAGCGTACTTCTTAATTAGAGTTGTTCAAGGACGAGATGACCCGTTAGACCTGTTATGTTGGGTCCGTTAGAAAAACGGGCTTGGATTACTACTCTCGAAGAAATGGACGAGTCTGGTCTGGACTGACTTGTTAAAATTAATGGACGGACATAGATGATGGAAAAAGAATATTTGGACAGGCCTACTTATATTTATATAATAATTAACTTTTTAATTAAAATTTATTAATAAAATTGAAAGTTATTAATACTTATCGATTCTTATTTAATTATGACTCATGATAATAACACTCTTTAAAAATCTTAAATTTGAAAATATAATTACCTCGATTAATCTATTCTTTATTATCTCATTCAGTCATTTTCTTTATCAATATTTCATATTTATTATCTCGATTAATCGATTCTTTGTTATGTATTTACGTCAAATCTTAAGTTGGAAAAATTGTTATCTGTTTTGAATTATTTTACATAACTTGTGATTTTATACAAGTTTTAATTTCATAAAAATATAATAAGATTTTTAAGCCCATGGGCAAGCCCGGTCCGTTTATAGGGCAGGTATGGCTTTTTAAAAAGAGCAAATTGTATGAAAATGTAACGTACTTTAACTTGATTCCTATTTTGGGTAACGTATTTTGAAAACTTTCATTTTGGTACCTAAGATGTAAAGTTTCAAACATTTAAGTATCTGGATACCCCAAAGGAGATAAATGAATTTTTAGGCATGAAAAAGGAATTCAATAAAATACAGGGATAAAAACCATAGTTTACTCAAAAAACTTATTAAAAAAGCGAAGACTTTCGAACAAAAAACCGGTATGCATCACCTAGAGGCTTCAGTGACCCCTACCGAACGTTTATCAACCTTCATTCAATGTTTGCTTTTACAAGTTTTTTCTTTAATAAAGAAAAATGACATCTGAAAAACGAATGAACCGACAAAATATCTTCATTTTGTGAGTCTTGAACCTTTGATCTCTAAGAAGGTAAAAAGCCCCGATATAACTAGGTCAAATATAATAAATTATTGACTGAAAGGATTCAAATTTAGTTAACCATTGAGAAGAAAAACATGAAAAATATAGTCAACTTAGAGGTCGTTTACCAAACACTTATCTAGGTAAGTGTTTACCAAGTTACATTACCTTATCGGATGCAAATGGTAAGAACCAAGAATCTTACCCAGTAAGAGCGAAGACACGGACCGAGAGTCTTATGCGGTAAATGAGAGTCCTTGTAAGGGTGGCGTATGATTGGTTTGAACTCAGGCTCCAAATGTCAAAAGTACATGGAGGTCACAGGTTCAAATCCAAAGAGGAATAAAAATCTCTTTTGTGGCCACGGAGGTTCAAATGCGACAACTCCTGACTACCCGCAAAACAGGTAGTCGTTCTGAGATTAATCAGTTCATATAGCGGGTTGGATATCCAGGTTAATAATAAAAAAAACTAATTTTAGAAATCTAAAAATGTTGTGAAGGCAGATTTGAAACTTTTATACAACTGAGTAACTAGTCCAATCCATCAAAATAATCCACTCTTTTTTTTCAAAAGAAATTACTCATTTTTTTAATTAATAAATGGATTACCCATTTTCTTTTAAACTAAATTGTCTAAAATATAATCCAGATTATAATTAGACAAATTATACCAGAAATACAAGAATATTGTCATCTTTAATATAAGATTCATGATGATATTATATATATTTATTAAAATTAAATGATTATAAATTGCAAATTGATTCACGTATAAATTATAATTTTGAATTTATGTTGAGATCATAAATTCATATATGATGATTATCTCTGGTAGGAATGATTTGTTTACATATTTACAATGGTTATTATGGTCTTCCTCAGTTTTTTATCTTTTGTAATTTTTCTCTCAACCAACGTTATATACATATATATAGGGCGGGTTCAAATGAAAATCGAGTTTCAGTTGTGAATCGAGGGACAAAGACCCCTGCGTTCACGGGTTATTCATAATGAATAATGATGAATGTGTATTATTAATCATGAATAATGAATCAATTTAACATTCATCATAAATAACCCATGAACTTCACCTTCGTTATTCATATCAAATGTGGACGGTCTCACTTAACATGTGTGTATATATATATATACACACACCGATTAGTAATTGAAATGGATTAAGCTGCATGCATTTTAAAGCCTGAAAAGTTGGCACTTTGGGCCACCAACCATTGTTGTTGTGTATATATATTCATGCATTAATCGATCATTCAAAGAGGTGTGAAATCTCTCATTTTCTTCCCTTTTTGCAAACACTCTCCAGTTTAAGGTCCATCAAGGTGAGTTTTCTTGGATTTCTTTAAACAATTAATCCTTTTAGTTTAATTAATTAATCTTGGTATTAATTAGTGCACAGCTTAACACACACAGACACACATTATAATTCCTATTTTGCATGCAAACAATTAATTTGTTAAGATGCAACTTACAGTGATGGAGGAGGAGGAGAATAGAGGAATCAGCATTATGAAGAGCATAGGTAGAAGCTTGAGTCGAGCAGCTGGGAGTTTGGGAATGGACGAGGTGTTCTCCATCACCGCTGGCGGCAGCCACCGAAACAGCCACCGTACCCAAGACGAAGAAGCCTTGCGGTGGGCTGCTTTAGAGAAACTCTCCACCTACAACCGAATACGAACCACCATATTCAACTACTCTTATAACAATAACAACGATAAGCATGACGATAAGTTGCTGATGGAGGTACGAGACCTCGATGCAAATGCTCGGCAACATTTCATCGACAACTTCTTTAAGGTTGCAGAAGATGATAATGAGAAGTTCTTGACAAAGTTCAGAGATCGTGTTGATAAGTATAGCCTTTTAATCTCTTCTTGTTTATTTAATATTATATATAGGGTTAAGTTTAGGGGAAACCGCAAAAAAAATAAAAAAACTAAGGAATACCTTAAGGGTAACCATTCATCTATATGGTATCCACATGTGCATACAAGTAATTTGTCTTGTATGCACATGTGCATACGTGCACAGAAACCAAGAAAGAGCTTCAATTACTTGTATGTATATGTGCATATCGTACAAATGAATGATTCTTATCAGGGTGTTCCTCAGTTTTTCATTTTTTTGGGTTTTTCTTGAACCTCCCTCTATAGGGTTGGCATTGGTTATCAATCTTGCATTCGTTCTCAATCTTGTATAGAGTTGGTATCACTCTTCCAACCGTAGAGGTTCGGTTTCAAAATTTGAGCATAGAGGCAGACTGCTACGTGGGTAACCGAGCACTTCCATCGTTACCAAACGCTACTCGCAATTCCATCGAATCGTTTCTGGGTTCTATTGGGATAAGTTTATCTAAGAAAACTAAAATCACCATTCTTAAAGATGCATCTGGGATCATTAAACCATCGAGGTACCTTCACCTACTTACCTATATCTTAATCAATTACTGTTTTCCAATCAAGAATCCCACACCCCTAACGGAGGATCTGTGATGCTACAGAATGGTACTTTTATTGGGACCGCCATCTTCTGGGAAGACAACCCTCTTGTTGGCCTTGGCGGGAAAGCTCGATCCCAGCCTAAAGGTCAGTAATACTGTAATATAAACATGATCAGATACATATATACATACATAGGAGGTTCAAGAAAAAACCCAAAAAAATGAAAAACTAAGGAATATAATTGTTCATCTGGATGGTATGCACATGCGCATAAAAGTAATTAAAGTTGGTTCCTAGTTTTTATGAACGTAAACAAATTGCTTAGGAATCTCATGCGTTTACCGTCCAAATGAATGGTCACCAGGGTGTTCTTCAGTTTTTCATTTTTTTTACGGCTTTTCCTTGAACCCGACCCTATATATATATATATATATATATATGTATATATATATATATATATTTATATATGTGAGTTTCAGGTGAAATGTAAAAATGAAATTCAATTAAACAGGTTGAAGGAGAAATTACTTACAACGGTCATAAACTGACTGAATTTGAACCACGAAAGACATCAGCGTACATCAGCCAGAACGATGTTCATGTTGGAGAAATGACCGTCAAAGAAACCTTAGATTTCGCAGCAAGGTGCCAAGGAATCGGATCTAGATTAGGTAAACTGCTTAATCTTCAAGAAGCTGGCAATATCATATGAATCTTGAAACAGATATAACTGAATGATGAAATTAATATAGACTTGTTAGCGGAGCTCGCAAGAAGAGAGAAGCAAGCAGGCATTTTCCCAGAAGCCGAACTCGACCTTTTCATGAAGGCAACCGCTATAGAAGGAGATGCTAGCAGTTTGATTACATACTACACTCTTAGAGTATGTAACACGAGCCTTTCAAATTCCCACACCTTTATATAAAACTTAATCAAAGCTAATTTGTCTCTACAACTTGAAAATTTTGCATAAATCAAAATCAAAAACAGATATTGGGCCTTGATATCTGCCGTGACACCTTTGTTGGCGATGCAATGAAACGAGGAATCTCCGGTGGGCAAAAGAAGCGAGTAACTACAGGTTAACTCCCTTACTTTATCAGAACATTTAGACATATTTGCCGTTCTAAAATAGCGGGTTTTGTTGTATAGTGATGCTAATATTGGACTCTAATTGAATATGGAAACAGGAGAGATGATAGTTGGGCCAGCAAAAACTTTGTTTATGGATGAGATATCAACAGGTTTAGACAGCTCCACTACATTTCAGATAGTGAAGTGCTTGCAGCAAATTACACACCTCACTGAATCAACAATCTTCATGTCCCTACTACAGCCTGCTCCAGAGACATTCGATCTCTTTGATGACATCATTCTACTATCCGAAGGCCAGATTCTGTATCAAGGTCCACGACAAAATGTGCTCGAGTTCTTCCAAGGTTGTGGTTTCAAGTGTCCCGAGAGAAAAGGCGTCGCTGACTTCTTGCAAGAGGTACAAAAAGATCACATTAAAGTACTCTCTACAACTAAAGCTTACACATATAGGGTCAGGTTAAGAGGAAAAATGTAAAAACATGAAAAATTGAGGAAAACACTGGTGATCGCTCATCTAGATGGTATGTACATGTGCATACAAGTTTTTTTGTAAGCAATTTGTTCGGTATGCACATGTCCATAACATGCACACATGCATAAAAAACAAGAAATAGCTTCAATTACTTGTATGCACATATGCATATCGTCCAATAAATAGGATGTTTCTTAGTCTTTCATTGTTTTGGTAGTTTTTCCCTGAACCTCCATCTACACATCTTAGTCTTTCATTGTTTTGGTAGTTTTTCCCTGAACCTCCATCTACACATGTATATGCTAACAACTGTGTCTTAATGACTACAGGTTACTTCTAAAAAGGACCAAGAGCAATATTGGGCAGATAGAAGCAAACCATACAGATATATACCAGTTAGTGAGCTCGCTCAACGATTCAAGCATTTCCATGTAGGCGAGAAGCTAACGAACGAGCTTTCAGTCCCATACAACAAAAGCCAAAGCCACAAAGCAGCTCTAGTCTTCAAGAAGTACTTGGTCTCGAAAAGGGAGCTCCTTAAGGCATCATGGGATAAAGAATGGCTACTGATGAAGAGAAATAGTTTTGTTTACATTTTCAAGACTGCACAGTTCACCATTGTAGCTTTTATAGGGACGACTTTGTATTTTAGGACAACAATGCACAGAAGAAACGAAGAAGATGGTCAAATCTATCTAGGGGCGATTTTGTTAAGTTTGCTCATAAACTTATTTAATGGTATAGCTGAAATCTCACTCACCATAGTAAGACTTCCTGTAATTTTCAAGCAAAGAGACCTTCTGTTCCATCCGCCATGGGCTTACACACTTCCGACGTTCTTGCTTCGCCTGCCAATATGTATGTTAGAAAGTATTATCTGGATGGCCATAGTATATTACGGTGTTGACCTTGCCCCGGAAGCTAGCAGGTAACAGATTCCTATTATTGTTGCATAGAGCGGGGAAACCCGCAAAAAATTGAAAACCTGAGGAACACCCTAGTAACCACCGTATGCATTACAAGTAATTTGTAAGCAATTTGTCAGCATAAAAACCAAGAAACGGCTTTAATTATTTGTATGCACATGTACATACCATCCAGATGAATGGTTACCCTTGGTTTTTCAATTTTTTGGGTTTTCCCCAGAACCTCCCTCTTGTTGCATAATATTTATAGTTTCTAACAATCTAACCCCATTTTGCTAACAATAAAATGCTAATCCTAATATGGTTTACAGGTTCTTCAAGCACTTCCTGTTGGTTTTTATAGTTCAGAATGTATCAGGGGCACTTTTTAGGTTTATTGCTGGAGTTTGTAGGACAATGAACATTGCAAACACAGGTGGAACCCTTACACTTCTACTCATATTCTTGTTGGGAGGTTTCCTTGTAATAAAAACCAAGATTCCTACTTGGTGGGAATGGGCTTATTGGCTATCACCATTGTCATATGGGTTCAATGCGTTTACAATCAATGAGTTCTTTGCAGATAGGTGGATGAACAAAATGGTAAGTTGTTTAACTCAAAAAAAGCAGAAAACAAGGCACAAAAGAAAGAAAAATGTTCGTTATGATGTTTTGATGTTCACAGAGTTCAGATGGTGTAACTAGCTTGGGAATAGCAATGCTAAAGAACCTGGATGTCCCAACTCAAACAAGCTTTTTTTGGATTGGTGCTGCATCTCTTCTTGGTTTTGCAGTTCTCTTCAACACCCTCTTCACTTTAGTTCTTATGTATTTAGAACGTGAGTTTATGTGTTCGATCCCTGAAACGCGTTGAAGAGTAAAGACTAACTTTGGACAACCAGAAACTAACCTTCCTCATTTTCGGATTAATGAATCAGCCCCTGGAAGAAAACAAGCGATTATCTCCAAAGAAGCAGCTGCAGGGATGGAAGCACAACAAGATAGTAACCAACAATCAAGACTCAAAACAATTGCATCTAAGCAAGAAACAACTCCTCAATCTTTATTTCCTGTTGATGGAAGTAGTTCAGGTAAGAAAACCAAGTTCCAAAAACATAGAAATTTACAAACATACTAAAATGATCATCAGTTAACGCTAATACAACTTTTGCAGATAGAAATATGGAAATGCAGCATGTAAGAAGTCGGTCCGAGTCTTATGATTCGTATGGCGGGGGTCGTAAGAAGGGGATGGTTTTTCCGTTTACTCCACTTGCCATGTCGTTTGATAGCATGAACTATTTTGTTGATATGCCCCAAGTATGTTCCCTTCTTCTTTAACTTATCCTAAGTTTAAATTGCAACTAGGATATTTAACAAGAATTGCAGATGGAATAAGGTTTCATTTAGAAATGATCAAATGGTTGTATATTAACCATGGTTTATTCCACAGGAGATGAAAGAACAAGGGGTGGAAGAAAATAGGTTGCAGTTACTTCGTGAAGTAACCGGTGCGTTTAGGCCTGGAGTCCTAACTGCATTGATGGGAGTCAGCGGAGCTGGAAAAACGACATTAATGGATGTTTTAGCAGGAAGAAAGACAGGCGGTTATATCGAAGGAGATATCAGAATATCAGGATTCCCAAAGAAACAAGAAACTTTTGCAAGAATTTCTGGATATTGTGAGCAAACAGATATCCATTCTCCCCAAATCACTGTTTATGAATCTTTGATTTACTCGGCTTTTCTTCGGCTTCCAAAAGAATTCAGCAATGAAGAGAAGATGGTAAAAAGATGAAGATACAATCAAGATTTGCCAAAGAAGATATCAAGAAGAGATGAAGTAGTAATTCTAATTCCTTTCTCTTTATGTATTACCTTTCAGATCTTTGTGGCTGAAGTCATGGAGCTAGTTGAACTAGACAACCTCAAGGATGCAATAGTGGGACTTCCAGGAGTTAGTGGTTTGTCAACCGAACAGAGAAAGAGGCTAACGATTGCAGTCGAGCTTGTTGCTAATCCTTCAATCATCTTCATGGATGAACCGACTTCTGGGCTTGACGCAAGAGCTGCAGCCATCGTTATGAGAGCCGTGAGAAACACCGTGGACACAGGAAGAACTGTCGTTTGCACCATTCATCAGCCCAGCATCGATATCTTTGAATCCTTTGATGAGCTGTTGTTGATGAAAAGAGGAGGGCAAGTGATCTATGCAGGATCATTAGGCAGAAATTCTCAACAAATTGTGGACTATTTTGAGGTGATTCACATGTAAATACTTTACAAACTAAATCAATTGGAAAGATTAGACATAAAACTGACAGATTAAACAAGCCATATTTAACCATATGATCAGGAAATTCCTGGGGTTCCAAAGATGCCAGAAAAATATAATCCTGCAGCATGGATGTTGGAAGTCAGTTCAGGTGCTGCTGAGAGCCGGCTTGGGATCGACTTTGCTGAGCACTACAACTCATCAGCCTTACAACAGTAAGTTTTTATCTTATAACAATCATAAAATAACACAAAATCATCAAAAGTATGTAAATAATTTTGATGCTCAACAGGAAGAACAAGGCTTTAGTGATGCAGTTAAGTACACCCCCTCCAGGAGAGGCAGATCTTCATTTTGGAACACAATATTCTCAGTCTGCATGGGGGCAATTTAGATCTTGTATATGGAAGATGTGGTGGAGCTACTGGAGAAATCCTGATTATAACCTAACCCGCAACTTCTTCACCTTGGCCACTGCCCTCATGGTTGGGACGATGTTTTGGAAAGTGGGCGAAAAAAGGTCACATTCCAACACCTGAACTTAACACCAACAATGATGATTTTATACAAATCTTTATGAGATTCTTGATTTTGTATCTTCAGGGAGAGCAGCAATAATTTGACCACCATCATCGGGGCGACATTTACTGGGGTGTTCTTTGTTGGTATGAACAATTGCCAAACAGTGCATCCGGTAATCGCCACAGAAAGAACAGTTTTCTATCGAGAAAGAGCAGCTGGAATGTACTCGACATTACCATATGCCATGGCACAGGTCAGAATCTGAATAAAGATTGAAACTTTATCCTTATCTTCAGCTTCTAACAAATGGGGATACATTCTATTCAGGTGTTTGTAGAGATACCATACGTATTTTTTGAAGCAACATATTACACTCTAATAGTGTATGCCATGGTGTCGTTCGAATGGACAGCAACCAAGTTTTTTTGGTCATTTTTCATCAACTTCTTTTCATTCCTCTATTTTACATACTATGGAATGATGACTGTTTCTATCACACCAAACGAACAACTAGCAGCTATAGTGGCAGGTTCATTCTACGCCATCTTCTGTTACTTTTCTGGGTTTTTCATCCCTAAACCCGTAAGTCATCTTCCATACTTATATATATTGTGGCAACTAATTGCTTCATTTAGAGACTAAAGTTGATGTTTTGTTGTATTCAGAGAATTCCAAAGTGGTGGGGTTGGTACTACTGGATCTGTCCGTTGGCTTGGTCTGTTTACGGGACCATTATATCGCAGTACCATGATGTTGAGAACACGATCAAGGTGCCTGGGATGTCGTATGATCCAGCCATAAATTCGTATATCCAAGACTATTATGGTTATAGATTAGATTTCATGGGTCCTGTTGCTGCGATTCTAGTTGGTTTTTGTGTATTGTTTGCTGTCGTCTATGCCTACTGTTTAAGGACGTTGAATTTCCAAACGAGATAAATCGATCTCATATGTTTCAAGAATGTTTATATGTCGTTTTTCCAAATAGGACCGCTTGTATTGGGTAATTTAGATTGTTGTAATCTTGTTAGGGTTGTATGGACATATGGGATATTGCTGTATCATACATTTGAGGTCTCATTTTAACTTATAATCTATGTTTCTCTTTCAGTTAATTATACATGATTGTTTGATAATAATTTAATGATGTAAAAAATGGTTTATTCAGTAAACTTTTAAGAAAGAGCTTTATATAAAAAGTCAAGTTTTTTCAAACATGTTATCTCCCAATTAAAAAAGAATGTTCCTTCCATGTATGAAAAAAAAAATCGAACATAAACTTTCTCATTCTATGCAGACAGATTAATGTACACAAACATCTTATTCATACAGGACTTGATGGAAAATCAACAAAACAACCCTTAGGACAGTTTAGCAAATATTTACCAGACAAGAGTCATCACTTTCATTTACCTTATGTGATAGCATTTGACATCAAATTAGATTGGTGGTAAGCGTTTATAGGCCAGTAAGAACATCTTCAACAGATTCTACAAAATTGAGATAATAAGGATTTTGGACAATTTCGTGCTTCAAAAGATTCTTTAAAACTTTCTCCAAAATAGAGAAGGTAAAAGAAAAAGCGTAAATTTCTCTAAATATAGAAAACTTTTCAAAAATGAATTAATGATTTAATCTCCAAAATAAAGAATTTGTTGGAGTTGAATATAATTATTTTTAGAGATTTTGAACTTTGATTCTCCAAAAAGTTGGTTTAGTAACGTAATTGCACCGATAAGTATTTACCAAGTAAGTGTTTAATAAACGGTTCCTTAGAGTAGATGTTAAATCTAAACAATTTGTTGTATTATTTGTTTTTTTTTTCCAATTTTATATTATGTTCTGGATACAAGAGAGTCTATAGTTGATTTGAACGTATTTACTAATGTGTCTGTTTCACGTGGTCGGTTCATAATGTGAACCTTTTTAACATGTTTGTAAACAAAAAAAAATATATGTAAAAAAGTTATACATTGTAAACCGAATACATATGCAACAAACACATTGTGAAACAAATATATATTAATCAATAGATTAAATATTAACTTAAATGGAAAAAAAATGTAAAACAAAACCTTAAGATAGAATTAATTATATAATTAAAGATAGTTAAATCTCATCCGTTTATATAATTGCTAAAACCAAAATTAATTATATTTAAGATAATTTAAGAGGTGTTTGGTTAAATGTATTAAGCAGTAATCAATATGAATGAAAAATAAAAGAAACTGTTTGATTTTCTATAATATAATCGGCTCATTCATCTATAAGCCGAAAAATTTTCATTCCTCATTTCTGTCATTTTCATTTTCATTTTCATTCCTCAGCATGAGTCAAAGAGACCTTTAGATTTTTGGAATTGGCTATTAATTGACACATATCTCCTTGTGAATAGAGTTATCCGGTTGATTGTGGTAAAGTTAAAAATTCAAAACATAACAGTAGCTTCTTCAAATAATATTGAATATCTGATGTTTTACCATCTGACTTTTTCATTTTTTATACTTAGACCATGTTTAAACACAGTTCGCATAACTTAACTCTGACCTTTGGTACCATTGTAACAGCTCAAACTCAAAATAACATAATATAACTATCAGTTAATCAGCGTGTAAAAGACTAAATCTAGATGAAACTAACAAAAACGAACCCTTGGGACCTTCTTCAACGCAGGACGTTGGTTCTGCAATAACCAAGTCAATCCACCGGAACTAGGGAAAACCTAAGCATACATGTCAAGCAACAAAAGGAACTCATATTTGAATATGAAACGATATAAGTTGCTTCTGATGATTTGATATATGTGAAAAAGGAAATTAGTATGTCATTGTGCATTTAGCATGTAATAGGTGAAAATTTAACTGACTCAAAAATTATATTAATAAATTGATTAAATTATTCTTCAAAAATTATGACTTATGATATGACTGAGACATGACATATTATTAGATATTTATAGATGAAGTCATTATTGAGACCATTCTCGTAAGAAATTTCCTAGTTATACGACGAAGTGTGATGTTGATGGTTCATATACATACACACACATATATATACACATGCATATATAAACTTGAGATCATGTGAGACCCGTAACACCAATTCTCAACCCTTGGATTAGATCTACAATTTGAACATTCATAATCACAAAATTGCCACGAGACTTATCAATAATCACAAAATTGTCACAGTGCAACTTTAGACCATTAAATCATTAGCTTATAAAGCTGATTAATGAACATAAATTGGTCTTACGGGTCTCACGAAAAACATTTGGTCTCACATGAACCCAACCCTACATACATACGTACATACGTAAATATAGAGAGAGAGAGAGAGAGAGAGAGAGAACTCTCTAAATGATGTTATCTTTAAGAACAAGTGCATCATATCTTATTTTATATGATTTTTTCATCAGTGACTAGAATTTATTGTAATGACTAGCATATATTGGTTTCACAGTATGTTTGTTTCACATGTATTTACATGTTTGTTAAACAAAAAATACACGTAAAAATGTTTCATATTATGAATTGAATACATATGAAACAAACACACATTGAAACCAATATATGTTAATCAAAATATTAAATATTATACTTAGATGAAGAAAAAAATCATATGAAACAAAACTTTAAGTTAGAAGTCCTCATGAATTTCAGGAATTTTAAACTTTTTAAATGATTAAGCATATATAAAGTCATGATCCTTGTTGAAATGTTTATAGTCACACTGATATTATTGGTCGAACCATCGTCATCGTCATCGTGATTGCTGTAGATTACTGAACGCCATTGATGAAGAAATGACAAAAACAGTTTTGTTTTTATTGTTTTCAAAGTTTTGATTTTTTATGTTTTAAACCCAGATAAATATATAAGAAACTAAATACAGCGTTTAATAACCTTTTTTCTCGACAAACAAACATAATATTCATTGTATTTTTATCAATTTGACCATATTTGGTATACATCAACTCCAAAAATATCAATATGGAACAAACAGATATGAGCAATAATACAATCAGATAAAGAATATTTGGATTAGTTTATAACGATCGTTTAAAAATGATAAACCATAAAATATTTGATTGCTTCCAAAAGAAAATTTAAATACTACAGTTTTGATGATAATGAAAGAAGAGGACTCATATAAATAAAAGATTCGTATTAACTTTGATGATAATGAAAGAAGAGGTCTCGGATACAGGCATACAACTGATCTTTGCAGGTTTGGGCCGGACTCGAGTTGGACTTAACCTATTTTTTTGTCTAAAGGGTCTGATATGGTAAAATTAAGTCCCTTTTTACGGGCTTGAAAACTTACTCATACCCGTCCTATAAACGGGCCGAGCTTGCTCTCGGGCTAATTGCCTTAAAATCTTGTTTTATGAAAACAAAACTTATATAAAATCAGAAGTTATGTAAAATAATTCAAAATATATAACAATTTTTCCAACTTAAAATTTAATGTAAATATATAATAATATACATACTTTAGAAAGAAATTGTTGCACTAAATATGAAATATTGATAAAGAAAATGACTGAATGAGATAATAAAAAATTGATCAGTTAAGGTAATTATATTATCAAATTTAAGATTTTCAAATAATGTTTATTATCATGAGTCATAATTAAGTAGGAATTGATAAGTATTAAGAATTTTCAATTTTATTTGTGAATTTTAATTATAAAAGTTAATTATTATACAAAGGCATGTTCAAATATTTTTTCAATTGTCCATGTTCATCCATTAATTTTAACAAGTCAGTCCATATCCGTCAATTTTCTTCAACAATGGTAATTCAAGCCCGCTTTTCTAATAGACCGGACATGATAGGTCTAGCGGGTCATTCAGCCCGTGAACAACTCTAATCTCACATAATTAACATAATATAAAATATAGTAAAAGTTAAATAAAAAATAAAAAAACATGAAAAAAACAAGGCATTTTTATAAATAAATTTAATGTTTTGTCTATAAAAATAAATTGTTGCCAAATTTAAAAAAATATGAAAAAAGAAAAAAGTAATATAAATGAAGTTGCCAAATACGACCATGTGTCACGTGACATCAATCTCTTTTGCATTTTGCACGATTCACACCTCAAACCATTATATAAAACTATAAAAATAAATTAATGATTCAAAATTTAATTACAAAATAGAATTAGCAAAGGAGTTATTTATCCTTTTTATATTTATTGGTTTTTCATTAATTCTTGTATAGATAAAGTTGTTTGTATAAATTAAAATGTTTAATATAGATTGGAAATGTTTTATTTACGAAGTTTTTTTATAGATGGAAGAATCGTATTTTTTTTTATTGGAATGAACATGTTTAGAAAAAATTTGACTTTATACAGAAAGTTTTCTCTATAGGTTATTATTTAAGTCATTTTTTATATCATTAAGCCACTATCATACAGTCATGTACAATTGGTCGAATATGTTGTGAGTCTCATTAAGCTGCAACAAACATGCTCTAAGGGACTGTTTGACAGTTGTTGAATAGTTTGATATAGAATGATTAAAAAGCTCTTATGATATAATGCAAAATGAAATATAATTATTTCTTAATTGTTTATAATGAAATTAGGACGCTTAACGATGAAAGAGGGTCAGAGATACAAAATCATTTAAATGGTTTTAAACCATTAAAAAACAGATTTTTTTTTTTTTTTTTGTCAAAATTTGATTTTGACCAACTTTTGTTGAATTGTTAACTTTGAAGTCAAGGCCGTCTTTGTTACTTTAGATGTAATGGAACCATACAAAAGCCAACGCCACATATGGACCTCCATTTGCTCGATCATATTGACCATGTTAATTTACACTTTTACCCTTGTGTTTACATAATTGTTGTAGACATAAATGACTTTAGGTTGATCCGTACAGATTAAAAGTACACTGGTAATATACAAATGTCAGATATTTTCATGTGAATATAACGACACTAATTTAACGTATTGCTACAATAAAATTGAGTTTATAAAACACTTAAAATGTTTAAACATTCTAATATAATAATTTATATGACTTAAGTCTTATCTAAAAATATTACAATGGTTTTATAGTACGTTTTTAGGTATTTCAACAAGTTTTCAGGACTTTTTTTTAAAAAAAAAATGTTGTATTAACTAATTTTATAAAATAACAAAAAGCTTTTACTTTTTCATACTGTTTCGTATAAAATAACTAATATGAAATTTTACTGTAAGTGTCTTGAAAAACTTGTTAAAACGTACATAAACATCCTATAAATTCATTCTAACAATTCCATATATGATTTTTTTTTTGTCCTATAAACTTAAGGTTGTTGTAGTGTATACTTATTTGTTTCATGTGACGTAAATACTTCATTACATCACACACACATGCATATATATATATATATATATATATATATATATATATATATATAGGTTGGTTATTATACAACCCATGACATTTGTGCAACCAATACAATCTAATCTCAACCGTTCATTTCATTTGATTAATATGTGATTTCATAGAAGTTTTGATTGTTTTCTAATATAAAGTATTGATCATAATTAATGAACCATATTCATCTTTCATAAATATTCAAATCATAATAAATGAACTCTCATCATTTCCATAAATATTTCAATTTATTGGGTTGCATTAGTTGTACAAATGCAACAGGTTGTATTTGAAACAAACTCTCTCTCTCTTTCTCAGTGTGAAATAAGTTATGGTGAGAAACGTAACAAGAGATCTATACCCTTGCATCAATTTGTATTAAATGTCAATGATAACGAGAATCACAAAATCAATTATCTTCTAAAATGCATTTCATGGGTACCCGCCCTATTTGATCAGAATCGGAACCGGCGGTTCTTGAGATATTGAAATCGGAACCGGTTAGAGCGGTTCTTGAATTTTTGGAACTGGAACCGCCGAGAACCGGTTCCGGTTCTGGATACCCGCTTCCTAAAATATTAAAATTTTGTTATTTAGAAATAAAAAATAAAACATTGCCAAAACACTAAATAAATAAATAAGAATACAAATTATACGGAATAATGGTTACAAAATCTGTTTAACGATTACAAATCATAATAGATTATCCGTCGATACATTTTTTTAAAAAATTTATGATACCTTCAAATTTATCTTTTATTCAAAAAATAAAACATTATCGTTTTTTCAGTACCCCATAAAATCGTATTATAACATCGACGAAAACACAATAAAACGAAACATTAAAATTTAGATGTATCTCGCTGCATTGCACAAATACCCTTCTAGTATACGTATAAAGGCTAAGGTTTACGATATTTTAACCAATAATATACACCTTAATTACTAGTAGACATTTGTCACAATAACGATACGAAAAAACTAATTGGCGATTCAATAAATTCATAGACCAATTGGAACACATTTATTTTCTGTTGAACACAGAAAAAGAAAACTTCAAAATCTTGACCACCTTATCAACGATGAAAATAAAATGAAAATATATTTTATAAAAAAAATTAAAAAGTAAAAGTAAAAAGGAAAAAAACACAATTCTAAAATATTTAATATTAGACAGTCTTTTTTATTATTAATTTGAATATCCAATCTGTTATGCGAGCCGACTAATCCCAGGGCGACCACCTGTTTTGCAGATAGCCCGGAGTCACCGCATTTGAACCTCCGTGGCCACAAAATGATTTTTATTTCTCCTTGGATTTGAACCTGGGACCTCCTGGTATTTTTGACTTTTGGAGCCAAGCTCAAACCAATCAGATACCACCCTTATCTAAGAGTGGTGGAGGTTGGACAGATAGCTACAATCCACAACAACTAACCTTCTTCTCTATTAAATACCTGCCCATTTCTCACCATGGGTACAACGCCTCTAACAAGCTACCGTGCGGTTTTGAATTACATGGTTTGGAAACACTGAAATGATGTAGTTTTCGGGCAAAAGTCGCTCACCGGTGATCTTTTATTTATTGACATACCAGGTAGCTCTTTGACGTGAGTTTCAAGTAGACTCCATAAGGGATCTATTTCTAAGATTTATGGTTTGCTTCATCCCAACTTACGCCTACTCTCAACTAATCACATCATGTTTCTGGTTCGTGACCCCATAATGAGGATGTTTCACAACACACACACACACACACACACACTTAAATTGTAATTTTTGTTTCACGACTGCACTTTGTAGTTTTGATCGAGTTTGGACATAATGTTCATCGGCTATGTGACTCTTTTAGGATTATGTTTGACAATAAAATGTTGTCATTCAAGTAAGTAGTGAAGAATTCTTATAATAACATCAACAAATGCCTAAAATATCATGGAGTATTTAAGAAAACGGGTGCTTTTTCTAGTATTTGCACAAATGACTTGTATTTTCGCTAAACAATTTGTGCGATGTTAGCGAAAGTATGTGCGGGACCCACATGTCATAAAAGCAGGTAATTTTGTCCATGCATTTCTCTAATGTCCGATGCAATCCTTCAGTGCTGGCGAAAATGCTAAAGAATTGGGTGTAACTCTCGAAAAAGTTGCAATTTTTTTGAAATTGTTACACATTTTCTCCAAACTTAATTCTTCGTTGGCGACTTTGTTTTTTATATATATACTGTTTCTAGATCAAACACGTTCATCTATCCACAACACTAACTCAAACAAATATGAATTCACGTCCTATTGAAAATCTCAAACAAACACCATTAATTGTTTGTAACAAATGACCGCTCTAAAGATATACACTAGCATTATCAGTAGCAGGGGTAGATCCAGCATTTGAACACGGGGAAAGGGCCCAGTTCAAAAACCAAAAACCTTTGTTGACTAGCTTAAATTTTCTATTTTCACCTTCGTTTTATATAGGTCCTATCCAACATGCCCCTACCCCATTAATTTATTGGATCAACCATTGATATTCACTAGAACATGTGTTCATATTTGTACGAGACAACGTTGTGGATAGATGAATGTGTTTTATCAAGAAAACCAAACATTCTACACAAAAAAAAAATCACCAATCCGGAATTAAGGTTGGCGAAAATGTAGTACAATTTTCAAGAAATGACACCCAAATTTTCAACATTTTCACCAACCCCACAGGAGTGAATGGAGAAATTGCCTACTTTTTATGACATATGGGTCTCATGGGCTGTTTGACAGTTGTTGAATGGTTTGGTGCAGAATGATTAAGTGATCAGAATGATTAAAATGTTGTCATGATATAGTGCAAAATGAAATATAATTGTTTGGTAATTGTTTACAATGAAATTATGGCGTTGAATAGTTAAGGGAGGCTCATGATACAAAATCATTCAGAAGGTTTTAAAATCATTAAGAGACAAAAAAAAAATTACCAAACAAAATTTACTTCTCAACGATCCAGAAGCTGTCTTTTAATAAAATTATTAAGAGGTAAACAAACAATCACTTACTCTTACTTTTAACAAAGTCGAAGGAATTGTTCGTTGAAAGTACACGGTGTAAATACTAGAAAAAATGATCATTTTCTTAAATACAACATGGTATTTTGGTTATTTATGCTAAATTTTTTTTATATATGATTATCTACAGATATTGTGTCCTAAATTTTTAACTGAAATTAGAAATATATAAATTTTATCGACTAGCATTAACATATATATCATGGGCAAACACAAAATCCAAAGCAAAATACATTTCAGTTCTCAAGGAATTCAACTAGAAGCAACATTAATGGCGGTCTTATTGGAAAAGCAGCCACCATTGTTGATGCTTATTTTTCTTCCAAATCATCATGTGGTTCCCATTTCTCCTTAAAAAGCTCCACTTCATCACCCATGCATAAATCCCTTGTACACCTTGCCTCCCCACTTGTACCTTCCACACATCCCTCCTACGCGTTCCCTTCTCCTTCACACGAATCTTTCAACCTTCTGCAAATTCCATTTTCAACACCCACATCCCATCATTCAAATCGTATATAAATCCCACCATTTCTTCAAACTCTTCAATCAGAGAAAACACAGACTTTCCATAACCTGTTAAGTAAACTTGAAGATCAGTAATCATGGAGGAAAAGAGATCTGTAAGCATTGGAACAAGTATAGGTAGAAGTTTGAGTAGGGCAGCTGGGAGTTGGAAGATGGAAGATGTGTTTTCGAGAGGTGCCGGCGGTGGCGGTAGCCACGACGGGAGAAACAGCCGGCATTCGGTGGAAGATGAAGAGGCGTTACGATGGGCTGCTTTGGAGAAACTTCCGACTTATAATCGAATACGAACCACCATTTTTAAATCTTATGTTCCAGCTGATCTTCAAAACCAAACACCGGCTGATAAGATGTTGTTGGATGTTCGAGAACTCGACCCCAATGCTCGACAGGACTTCATTGATAAGATCTTTAGAGTTGCTGAAGAAGATAATGAAAGGTTCTTGAAGAAGTTCAGACAACGTGTTAATAAGTAAGCTTCCATTCTCTTGTATATATATATATATATATATATATATATATATATATCTTCTTGTGTGTGTGTATACATATATATATATATATATATATGTGTGTGTGTGTGTGTATTGATATTATATATGTTTCAGGGTAGGAATCTCTCTTCCAACCGTAGAAGTTCGGTTTCAAAATTTGACGATAGAAGCAGATTGCTACGTGGGTGATAGAGCACTTCCATCATTACCAAATGCAGCAAGAAACTATGCAGAATCACTTCTGGGTTCGTTAGGTATCAGTTTGGCCAAGAAAACTAAACTCACCATTCTTAAAGATGCATCTGGAATCATCAAACCATCGAGGTACATACATACATATGTATATATATATATATATATATATACACACACACACACATAGAGAGTCGAGTTCAAATGACTACGTTACCTGTTCAAGAGAATGACGGTCGAATCACATGTGATTCTACACTAACATTATGTGTGATTCATACAACTTTACACCGCGATCTCAATATGCAGCCATAAGGTTGCTCGCACACTTGTTTTGTTGTTAATGTAAAATCATATATGATTTTGTTGTTTTTGTATTTTTTTTAACATTCTCGTTTGATCCACCATCTACATATATATATATATACACACACACACACACGCACACACAAAACCGTTAAAAAAAGAAAAATTGAGGAACATTCTTTAATCATTCATCTCTACGGTAATGCACATGTGCATGCAAGTAACTTGTTCAATATGCACATGTGCACAACATGCACACGTGCATAGAAACCAATAAACAACTTTAATTACTTGTATGCACATGTGTATATCGTTAAGATGAAAATCAAGGTGTTCCTCAGTTTTTCATTTTCATGGAGTTTTCAGAACCTCCCTCTCTCTACACATATATATATACTCTTCATTTCTCTCTCTAATACATAGGAACAAGTTCACGGAAACCATAAAAGAATGAGTAATAATACTCTACTAACGGTTCATCTGGATGGTATGAACACGTGCATAAAAACCAAAAAACAGTTTCAATACTTGTATGCACATATACGTACCATTCGGATGAATGGTTACTAAAGTGCTACTCATTTTTTTGGGGTTTCTCGTGAACCTCCCTCTCTCTCTCTCTATATATATATATAGATATATCACAGTGTAATAGTTATATGTAAGTAACAATGCTGTCAATGCATATATATTATGTTACAGAATGGCACTTCTATTGGGTCCGCCATCTTCTGGGAAGACGACACTTTTGTTGGCAATGGCAGGAAAGCTCGATCCCAACTTAAAGGTTGAAGGAGAGATTACTTACAACGGTCATAAACTCAACGAATTTGTACCTCGAAGAACATCAGCGTACATCAGCCAGAACGATATTCATGTTGGAGAAATGACCGTTAAAGAAACCTTAGATTTCTCAGCAAGATGCCAAGGAGTCGGCTCAAGATTAGGTGACTTAATATTCTTGTCTTAATTCTTGAAACAAGAAGATACCATCGATCGATATCTAACCAATTAACATGATGAAATATAGAAATGCTATCGGAGTTAGCAAAACGAGAGAAGCAAGCAGGGATTTTCCCAGAAGCCGAAGTCGATCTTTTCATGAAGGCAACTGCCATTGAAGGAGATGCCAGCAGTTTGATCACTTACTACACTCTTAGAGTAAGGGCCTATTTGTTAGCAGCTACAACTTATTCGGTCAACTATACATGATTGTTTTGTAATTATTTATTAAGCTTCTCAGGGAGAGTTTTATGCAGGAAGCCAAGTTTTTTTTACAAATCTGGCTCTCCCAGTTAAAAAACACACTTCTTCCATAAAAAAATTCTTTCAAACAAAAACTTTCTCAATCTCTACAGACAAATTAATCCACACAAACAACTTTATTTATACACGATATAATGAAAAATCAACCAAACAACCCCTAAGATGGGGCCCAAGTTTTTCAAGTTCTGCTAATAGTGTTAAACTTGTCAATTTTACCCGAATCAAAATTCTCATCGTATGTTTGTTCAAACGTAACAGATATTGGGACTCGATGTCTGCCGTGACACCTTTGTTGGCGATGCAATGAGGCGAGGAATTTCTGGTGGACAAAAGAAGCGTGTAACCACCGGAGAGATGCTTGTTGGACCAGCGAAAACTCTGTTTATGGACGAGATATCAACTGGTCTAGACAGTTCAACTACGTTTCAGATAGTGAAATGCTTGCAGCAAGTTGTACACTTGACTGAATCGACAATCTTGATGTCGTTACTACAGCCTGCTCCAGAGACGTTTGATCTCTTCGATGACATCATTCTACTAGCGGAAGGCCAAATCGTTTATCAAGGACCACGAGAAAATGTGCTCGAGTTCTTCGAAGGTTGTGGATTCAAGTGTCCTGAAAGAAAAGGCACAGCTGATTTCTTGCAAGAGGTACATAATGATTCTATTAAAGTCTCTAAAAAACTATTATATAGGGTCAGGTTCGGGAAAACCGTAAAAAATTGAAAAACTGAAGAACACCTTGGCAACCGTTCATCCGGACGTTATGCACATGTGCATACAATAATTTATAAGCAATTTGTCCGGTATGCACATGTGCATAACGTGCACACGTGCATACAAACCAATAAACAACTTCAATTACTTGTATGCCCATGTGCACACCGTCCAGATGAATGGTTACCAGAATGTTCCTTAGTTTTTCATTTTTGAGGTTTTCCCCCGAACCTCCCTCTATATATACCACCATTAAATTGATGATCTCCATTCTTACAAGTTCTACGATTCTTGATAATTAACAGGTTACATCTAAAAAGGATCAAGAGCAATATTGGGCAGATAGAAACAGTCCCTATAGATACACCACAGTCAGTGAATTTGCTCAGCGATTCAAGCGTTTTCACGTGGGCGAGAGGCTAACGAACGAGCTTTCAGTCCCATTCGACAAGAGCCAAAGCCACAAAGCAGCTCTCGTCTTCAAGGAATTCTTGGTCTCGAAACGGGAGCTCTTGAAGGCTTCATGGGATAAAGAATGGCTACTGATAAAAAGAAACGGTTTCGTGTATGTTTTCAAGACCGTGCAGATCGTGACTGTAGCATTTATCGGGATGACGTTATACTTTCGAACTACAATGAAGACTAGAAATGAAGAAGATGCTCAAATCTATATGGGGGCACTTTTGCTAAGTTTACTTATAAACATGTTTAATGGTCTGGCTGAGCTTTCCCTCACTATAATAAGACTTCCTGTAGTTTACAAGCAAAGAGACCTTCTATTCCATCCACCGTGGGCTTACACGATTCCGACGTTCTTGCTTCGTGTACCGATATCAATCCTCGAGAGTATTACATGGGTGGCCATACTATATTACGGTATCGATCTAGCCCCAGAAGCTAGCAGGTAATTGATTGATATAATATATATAGTCGAGTAGGGTAAGTTCAAGGAAAAACCGCAAAGAAATGAAAAACTAGGGACACCTTGGTCACCATTTATGTGGACGGTATGCACATATGCAAACAAGTAATTAGTAAGCAATTTGTTTTGCATAAAAACCAAGAAACAACTTCAAAAAACTTGTATGTACATGTGTATACCATCGAGATGAATGGTTACCAGAGTGTTTTCTTTAGTTTTCATTTTTTTGGGGGTTTTACTGAACCTCCCTCTAGTCGAGTAAAACTTCATTACTGAATCTTGATACTATTTACTAACAAAAAGATGCATTATGTGGTGTTTTCAGGTTCTTCAAACATCTTCTGTTGGTTTTTCTGATCCAGAACGTTGCAGCGGGAATTTTTAGGCTTATCGCCGGAGTTTGTAGGACGATGAACATAGCCAACACGGGTGGATCTCTCGTCCTTCTGCTGATATTTCTTTTGGCCGGTTTCATTCTTCCTAAAACTCAGATTCCTAACTGGTGGGAATGGGCTCATTGGGTATCACCATTGTCTTATGGCTTCAAAGCCTTTGCAATCAACGAGTTCTACGCTCCTAGATGGATGAACAGATTGGTAAGCCGTTAGTTCTTAACACGAAAAGCTCAACACTATAACGAGATCAAGAAAATTGAGTACGTTTCCTTTCTGTTTACAGAGTTCCGATAATGTTACTCCCTTGGGCACGTCAGTACTAGAGAGCCTGGATATCCCGACTCAAACAAGCTGGTACTGGATCGGTGCTGCTGCTCTTCTAGGTTTCGCGGTTCTCTTCAACGTCCTTTTCACTTTGGCTCTCATGTATTTTGATGGTAAGTTTCAGAATCCCTCCTATTCGCATTCAAGACTAGTTTTCTTAAGGCCTGTTTGCTAGGAACTTAATGAGCTTAATGGGAGACACAACTTATTTGGTCAGCTATGCATGACTGTTTGGTAGTGGCTTAATGAAAGTGTCTTATTCAGTAAGCTTTTAAGGGGATCTCTCTGCAGAAAGTCAAGTTTTTTTTCTAAACTTGTCACTCCCAATTAAAAAGGAAACTTCTGTCTATGAAAAACCCCTCCTAAAAAAACTTTATCAATTTATACAGACAAACTAATCCGCACAAACAGTTTTATCCATACAGAACTTAATGAAAATCAACCAAACAGCCTCTTAATGTTTTGTAGCTAACCTTCCTGTTTCTGATTCTTCTAATCAGCCCCAGGAAAACCACAAGCAGTGATCTCCAAAGAAGCAGCTGAAGAAATGGAAAACCAACAGGATAGCAACCAACAACCAAGACTCAAAACAATTGCATCCAAGCAAGGTAGAATTCCTAGATCCTTATTATTTCCGATGGAAGAAGTTCAAGAACGAAAAACCGGTTTTCGAAACTTAGCAATTTACATGATTTTTGTAGGTCAAAATATGGAAATGCAGCATGTAGGAAGTCGGTCCGACTCTTATGATAATTCTAATGGTGTTGCTGCTAAGAAGGGAATGGTTCTTCCGTTTACTCCACTCGCTATGTCATTCGACAACATGAACTATTATGTCGACATGCCTAGTGTAAGATCCGTTCTATAAGCATCCATTCTACGGTTTAACGATTCTAGAAACTTAACGATTACTTTCTGGCTGTTGATTGAACAGGAAATGAGAGAACAAGGGGTGACGGAAAACAGATTGCAATTGCTTCGTGATGTAACTGGCGCTTTCAGGCCGGGAGTTCTAACGGCATTGATGGGAGTCAGCGGAGCTGGAAAAACGACGCTAATGGATGTTTTAGCCGGAAGAAAGACAGGCGGTTATATCGAAGGAGACATCAGAATCTCGGGATTCCCAAAGAAACAAGAAACTTTTGCTAGAATTTCGGGATATTGTGAGCAAACCGATATCCATTCTCCCAACATCACCGTTCACGAATCTTTGATTTACTCGGCCTTCCTCCGCCTCCCAAAAGAAGTCAGCAAGGAAGAAAAGATGGTAAACAGATGAATATATGCAATCGATTCTATCATCAAACAAACTAATCAGAAAAAGATAGAAATTTTAACTCGGTTATGTTTCTTACTTTTCAGACGTTCGTGGTTGAAGTAATGGAGCTAATTGAACTAGACAACCTCAAGGATGCAATCGTAGGACTTCCAGGAGTTAGCGGTTTGTCAACCGAACAGAGAAAGAGGCTAACGATTGCAGTCGAGCTCGTTGCTAACCCTTCAATCATCTTCATGGATGAACCGACTTCTGGGCTTGATGCAAGAGCTGCAGCCATCGTTATGAGGGCCGTTAGAAACACTGTGGACACAGGAAGAACCGTCGTCTGCACCATTCATCAGCCCAGTATCGATATCTTTGAATCCTTTGATGAGCTGTTGTTGATGAAAAGAGGAGGACAAGTGATCTATGCAGGACCATTAGGCAGAAATTCACAACAAATTGTTGACTATTTTGAGGTAATTCACATGTGAATATTCTACAAACTAGACAAATTGGGAATATTTGACATAAAACTGAGAGATTAACAACTCATTAACCATATAATCAGGAAATTTCTGGGGTTCCAGAGATTCCAGAAAAATACAATCCAGCCACATGGATGTTAGAGGTCAGTTCAGGTGCTGCCGAGATCCGGCTCGGGATCGATTTTGCGGAGCAGTACAAGTCATCATCGTTGTTTCAGTAAGTATAAACTTTCTTACAATGATTATAAGCGACACAAATTATCGATAGTTAGTAATAATATTTGTACATATAGGAGGAACAAGGCTTTAGTAGCGGAGTTAAGCACGCCACCTTCAGGAGCGACCGATCTTCATTTTGGAACACGATATTCTCAATCTTCATGGGGACAATTCAAGTCTTGTATATGGAAGATGTGGTGGGGTTACTGGAGAAATCCCGATTACAACCTTGTTCGAAACTTCTTCACCTTGGCTGCGGCACTCATGGTTGGAACAGTCTTTTGGAAAATCGGAGAAAAGAGGTCTGTCTTGAACATCAATCATGGTGATCGATCGATAACCTAAAGCTCATATCCTAATTCTATTTCGTGATTCTATATGTATCTTCAGAGGTAGCAGCGGAGATCTGAACACAATCATCGGTGCCATGTACTCTGCTGTTTTCTTTGTTGGAATCAACAATTGCCAGACCGTACAGCCCGTAGTCGCCACAGAAAGAACAGTCTTTTATCGAGAAAAAGCAGCCGGAATGTACTCAGCGTTACCATATGCCATGGCACAGGTGAGAGTTGGAACAAGTATATATATATTCATGTGTGAATACAAACATAATTCATCTTTGGTTTTAGCTTCACATGTGAATACAAACAGAATTCATCTCTAGTTTTAGCTTTTCTAACAAATGAATATCCATTGTATTCAATCAGGTGTTCGTGGAGATACCATATGTATTTGTTCAAACCGTATATTACACTCTGATCGTGTACGCCATGGTCTCGTTCGAATGGACAGCAGCCAAATTCTTTTGGTTCTTCTTCATCAACTTCTTCTCGTTCCTTTACTTCACATACTACGGAATGATGACCGTTTCCATCACACCAAACGAGCAAATCGCAGCCATTTTTGCAGCTTCTTTCTACTCACTCTTCAATATCTTTTCCGGTTTCTTCATTCCCCGACCCGTAAGTCATCTTCTTCAATATCCATTCTAGTATTACTTACTTCTAACTTCATTCATTTTTAGAAGCTAATTTTGTTGAATGATTCTTGAAATTTCAGAAAATTCCCGGATGGTGGGTGTGGTACTATTGGATCTGCCCGATGGCGTGGACCGTATATGGATGCATCATTTCGCAGTACCACGACATTACGAACACGATCACGGTGCCTGGAATGGCGGTTGATCCACCAATGAATGAATTTATCGTCGATCGTTATGGTTTTCAGTTGGATTTCATGGGTCCGGTCGCTGCGGTTCTAATCGGGTTTAGCATATTGTTTGCATTCCTCTATGCTTTCTGCTTAAGGACATTAAACTTCCAGATGAGATAAGCATATGTTCTAACCAGGCTTATTTTAATAAATAATTTTTTTGTAATTCTTTTATAAATATATATATACAACTGAGTATATAAATGTAACTGTATATTCTTATTAGTGATTCAATAAAATCATGTTTCAAGCATCATACATGTTTTGATTATTAGAGTGAATTATGGATTTGGTCTGTGTTTGTATCTTATTATGACTAGGGTTCTGATTATTATGGATTTAGTTTTTATGATATTTAATTTGTCATGACCATAGTCCCCCCTCCCCTTAACATCGTTAAATAAACCTTTGTAGACTCAATGAAGCCAAAGGGCATTTTGGTCCCTTTTCACTTTCTTTGTCTTTGTTCTTTTAAAAGATAATATATATATATATATATACACACACATATATATATATATAGGGTTTGGTTCACGTGAGACAAAATTGTTTTCATGAGACATGATTTTTACACTTGAAACTTCACAACTAAATGTTGTGAAGGTAAAAAAAAGTTGAATCTTCATAGCAAAAATACTGTGAAGGTTACCTTCAAAGTGTTTTGTTGTGAAGTTTCAAGTATAAAAATCGTGTCTCACATGTCTCATGAAAACAGTCTTGTCTCACATGATCCCAAGTCTCTCTCTCTCTCTCTCTCTCTCTCTCTCTCTCTCTCTCTATATATATATATATATATATATAGAGAGAGAGAGAGAGAGAGAGGGGGGTGTTGGGTTCAGGGAAAATTGAAAAAAATAAAAACTGAGGAACACCCTGATAACCGTTTATCTGGACGATATGCACATATGCATACTGATAACTTTAAGCAATTTGTCTGCTATGCACATGTACATGCCATGCACACGTGCATAAAACCAAAGAAACTTCTATTATCACTATGCACATATGCATACCGTCCAGATGAACAGTTACAAAGGTGTTCCTTAGTTTTTCATATTTATAAGGTTTTCTCCTGAACCTCCCTCTCTCTCTCTCTGTGTGTGTGTGTGTGTGTATATATATATATATATATATATGTATATATATATGTATATATATATGGTATAGGTTCAGGGGAAAACCTCAAAAAAATGAAAAACTAGAAACACTCTGGTAATCATTCATCTGGACCGTATGCACATGTGCATACAAGTAATTTGTAAGCAATTTGTCCGGTATGCATAGGTGCATAACATGCACACTTGCATAAAACCAAAAAAATAGCTTCAATTACTTATACGAACATGTGCATACGATCCAGATGAACGCTTACTAAGGTGTTCTTCAGTTTTTCATTTTTTTTAGGTTTTCCCTGGACCTCCTATATAAAGTTCTATGCATACACCTTTATATACATACATGAGAGAGTCGGATGGAGATTAGGCGTTGGGACCGTCGATCTCAACCACTTCCAACCCTGTTGCCTTTAAGACATCTTCGTCTTCTTCATCTCCGGCACTGGCCATCATCCCCCCCCCCCCCCAAACACACCACGACACTCCTTCCTGCCACAACACAAGCTGCAAAGAAGAGAGAGATAGGAGGGGAGGGTGGAATTGATTTCCGATGGCTAGGGAAGAGAAGGCAACATGAGAAGTTCGAAGTTGTTAAAAGCTCAAGGTGCACTTAATCGCAAAGGGGACCGGGGCCTATACACACACGTGCACATACAAAGTTATACACGACTCAAATAGCATTCAGTAAAACATAGTTTAATTTCAATTTCCAAAAAGTAGTAATATCAAACATATCTCAATAAGACTAGTATAATCCTAGAATGCAGCAAATACAAGCCTCCAATGTAGCAACCAATTTAAAACCCTGCAGAAGAAGTTTTGGGTTTAATATTAGGACTTATCTAATAACTCTTTTTTGTAGAAGTCTAGAAGATTATAAGACTTAATTAATATTAGGGTTTGACTTATTTAACCACTCGTTTTTTTGTAAAAGTCAAAGAGACAAGAAAGTTTTTTAATATTAGGGTTTGTTTGACTGGTTTTTATAGAAATCTTTATAAGGTGCGCCTAGACCCATACGGCGCCTTAGTGTGCTCATCAATATGCCTCGCCTTGACAAGCAAAAAGCCCATAAGCTTGGGCATTATGCGCCTCAACGTCTAGGTTCGCCTCATGCACGCTTTTCACAACTATGGAAAAGTCTAGTCCCTAAGAACGTGGAAGCGATCATGCTCTCAATTACTTTCGCAAGATCCATTCGTTTGTTTGTTCCATATCAATAACCTCATTGGAGAAGAAAAGACTATGTTGAAAAATCCATTGGAGAAGACGTTGCATGTGTCATATTTTCACTTTTGGGGGAGGCCAGAGATGGAGAAGGGAAAGGGATGTGTCAATTACTTTGTGTGTGTATATATAATATATACAATATCTTTTGTATTATTCAATAGGAAATAGACCTAAAAATAGATAAAAAGACCAGAATCCCCTTGACTTAACGGAATTAACAAAGTTTTTTTTTAAAAGTGTTGGTAGGAAGAACCATGGTCATGACAAATTGAATACTACATGGACCAAATCTATAATAAAACATAGTGTAGGGACCCTAATCATAAAGAACATCAAAACAACCAAAATCCATAATTCACTCGTTATTATTACTTCCAAAAGTAGCAAATAAGTTACATCTAAAAGTTATATATATATATATATATATATATATATATATATATATATATAGGGGCCTATTCAAGGGAGAACTGAGTTGTTTGTGGTAACTGTGAGAACCAATATTAACCACAAATCAATAGATAATTTAGGAAATTTATAAATTTGGTAATTTTAAATTAAAATCTTAATGCAAGGATATTTTTGGTATTTTAAAACTCTCATCTCTCAACTCTTCTCTCTCCGGCCACCGTCCTCCGGTGATACCACTATGATACCACTGTGATACCTAAAAATATTGACTCTGTTAAACAAAAGATACATTGTGATACCTAAAAATATTGACTCTGTTAAACAAAAGATACATTGTGATACCTAATCATATATAAGATTCATAGTGATACCACAGTGTTACATCTTCGATCGACCACACAAACGACATCAATGTGATACTCAGCACATATATGATGCATTGTGATACCATTGTAGTATCACCGGAGAACGGTAGCCGGCGGACGGTGGCCGGAGGACGGTAGCCGGCGGACGGTGGCCGGAGGACGGTAGCCGGCGGACGGTGGCCGGAGGACGGTGGCCGGAGGACGGTGGCCGGCGGACGGTGGCCGGAGGACGGTGGCCGGAGGACGGTAGCCGGAGGACGGTGGCCGGAGTGAGAAGAGAGGAGGGAAGAAAGTTGTAAAATACCAAAAATATCCTTGTATTAAAATTTTAATTCAAAATTGTCAAAATTATAAATTTCCTAATTTATCTATTGATTTGTGGTTAATATTGGTTCTCACAGTTACCACAAACTAATTAGTTCTCATTTGATTAGGCCCCTATATATATATATATATATATATATATATATATATAGGGAGAGGTTCACTTGAGAAGTGCTAAATTTGTAAGAAGTGGAGAAGTGATCATAACCCTTTATATGGTCAAAAATTACAGCTTTGACTGGTCAAGTGAAAAATAGAGGGGTAGTTTCGTAACTTTTATAAATAGGTGGCAAACAAGTATATATGTAAACTCATAGTTCATATGTTAATCAGTTAAATAGTTCATATATGAATTAAAGTGAGAACCGTAAGAAGGGAGATGTCCTTTGATCACCTTTAATGTCAAACTCACCCATGAATCGCTTTTAATATGGGGATTGATCGTGTGCATCTCCTCTTAATGTACATCCAAGGATTGAAATTTTTTCTTACCCTTGTGGCGTTAATTCTATTTCTCACTAGAATCCAATCCAACCATATATATATACATATATATATATATATATATATAAAGTAAAAGGCGAATTATTAGGGGATTAGAATATGAATTGGGTTGCTGTCAAAGTAGGCTGCAATTGGAACACACTAGTAACGACACAAACTAAAGGAATCAAATCCATAATAAGATCATCCAAAACTCCCCCTTCCCTAAATCCTTCATTCAATTCTCAATTATTTTTTCTAAACAAATGGGTTTCATCTTATTGGATTTTCATAATCATTGAAAATACATATATATATATATATATATGGACGGGATCACATTTTACCTTTTTTTGAACTTGATACTTTACAGCAAAACGCCGTAAATATAAAAAAGCCAAACTTTTACAACAAAAACACTGTGAAAATTATCTTTACAACGTTTTGCTGTGAAGTTTCAAGTGTAAAAAGTGGTTTCACGAAAACAGATTGGTATATATATATATATATATATATGTGTGTGTGTGTAATACATATTAGATGCGTCTAGTTCGGGCGAATACTTGTAAAAAATATGAAAGAAAATAATAATTATATATTGTTATTTTTAAAAATTTTGTAGCGAGTAAAAAGCCTGCTAAATAATTACTTTTTGCAATATATAAAAAAACTTATGTGGGAGGAGATAAACGGTATCGATGTCATCTTGTTAGAAAATAAAAGGAAAAAGCCAAAAGAAAAATATCTGAAAATGGACCAAAGAAAAAGTCTAGTTTACTGTTCTTCTGACTCCAATAATTAATAATTAAATAATAAAATAAGGAATAAGATTCTTTTTATTAATTAAATATATAACACATGGAACATGAATTCCAGCTCTTCACTACACCAATCTACTCTTTTTATTATTTTATACTCTTTTGTCTTTATCTTCTCCGCTTTTACCCAAGTGGCTTCCGAAAAGTAAATTAAAATCTTTTATTTTATTTTATTAAATATTTTTATATTTCTACCTCGAAAACACTCCAAACTTAAAAAAAAAACCGAAACGTGTCAACTATAAAAACCAATTTCGCCAAACACGAATATAAATACCAATATTCTTCTTAATGGCAACAACATCAGATTGAACCCAATGAGTTCCGGATTCAATTTCAGATCTATTTTAGTCGTCGTTAAATGAGTCAAAAAAATATTATTTTATATTTGATATTTTTAA